CCACTGCCATGCCTGGCTTAGTATTTTTCAGACTTTTCAAACTAGACTTTAGCCAGGTGTGGTGGTCTGCACCTGCAGTCCCAGTGACTTGGGAGTCTGAGTCTGGAGGATCACTTGAGCCCAGGAGTCAAGGCCCACCTGGGGAACATGGCAAAACTCCATCTCTTAAAGCAAACAAAAATAAATACTAACATTCAGATTCAAAAATCTCTTGCTACTTGGGAAATTCTAATTAACTCCTGAAGAAACACCTACATTTTATCATGAGTTTGCCACCAAGAAGACATTTTATAATTTTAGCTTTTATAGTTTATAATTTGAAAATATGGTATTTTCTCATTTCTCATATATGAAATCATATCATAGTATTGGACCTTCTTTTTCCAAACTATCCCTACACATATACCACTTTTTAAAGTCATTGGTTTACTTGGGACCATACTCATAAGTGAAATAAACTGGATACACGTGTTTAAATATCACATTGTTTCTTTTACCAAAAGGGTAGTTAAGGACCAAAATGTATAGGAGATATTGTAAAATAGGAAGAAAATATTCAAATGAGAAGAGGAACAGGGAGGGGAGAGGGGGAAAGGAAGGAAAGAAAACAACAAAAAAAGAATAGATGGAATCAAAGCTTTTGTAAATAAGGAGGGAAAGGGGGGGATGGGATTGGGGGAAAAAAAAGAATCAAGATATATCATGCACAGGTACAAAAATTCCCTATGATAAATGTGATCATGCTGTATACCTTAAGTGTACCAATAAACTTAATTAAAGCCAGGGATTTAGCTCAGTGGCGCTGTGCCTGCCTGGAAAGTGCAAGGTCCTGAGTTTGATCCCTGGTACTGGAAAGAAAAAAGACTTTATTAAAAATAAAAAAGGACCAATGGAAGTTTTATTTTGCACTTGATCTTAGCCAAAAGGGCGAGAAGTGATGAGAATTTTATTTTGAGCAAAAAGAAAAATTACAGGCTTACAGAGAGAATGAAGAAAAAAGCACTAGCAGATCTTATTCAACTGTCATTTATGGAGAAACCTCATTACAGCCAGCACTGCCCTAGGTCCTGAGGAAATAAAATATGACACAACTTTTGCCCTTATGGAAATACCTTGAGAAATGTCCTTTTAGGCAGTGGTGTCTCACCGTGTAGTTCTGGCTGGCCTTGAACCCGCAGTCATCTTCCTGGTGGGATTACAGGTGCCACCAGGCCCAGCCCACACTAACTGTTAATAACGACACAGGCCAGCAAACAGGACAGTGGTTAAAACCTGTTCTGGCTTCAAGAAGTAACTGACACTGTATACATTTGGCCCATTTTCTCTGATTCTCATAAGAAATGCTTAGACTTCACCATCTTGCAGGCGAAGACCACACTCTCTGCCCAGTGGAGCAGCTCACCAAGGGCTATGGCTTTTCCACCTGGAGAGTTTTGTCCTAGAGTGCCTGACTCAGCACAGTGAGAGTGGCAGTTGAAGTTATTTATGCAGAGCTGTGACAGAACTACGGGGTCTATGGAAGCATTTGTAAGAGTAATGGAACTGCAGTTGAAGCAACTAAACGTCTTTAAAGTTTGATTGATTGATGGTGCTACTGGGGATTGAATCCAGGGTCTCACACCTGCTAGGCAAACTCTCTCTCGCTGAGGTACATCCCTAGCCCCCGCTTAAAAAGTTAATTTTTAGGGGCTGGGGATTTAGCTCAGTGGTTCTGCTGCCTGCCTTGCAAGCTCAAGGTACGGAGTCTGATCCCTAGTACCAAAAAAAAAGTTAATTTAAAAAAATTTTTACATTTTGAGAGAAGCTCTAGCAGTTAGCCAGACTAGCCTCAAACTCTCCACCTTCCTGTCCTCTGCCTCCAGAATAAGTGGGATTACAGGTGTAGATGCACTACTCTGTTCTGAGTTAAACCCATTTCTGCAGCGTTGAGATTTTATTTTTAGGTGATCAGTAAAATCTTCCTGAATAGAATTACTGGTGAGGAATTTTTAAATCAAATTTGGTATTTTCCCAAGCCACTTCCACCGCGATGTGCGATGGGAACCACGCGGTTACAGGGCAGTAAGCAGTCAGTGCGGGAAGCATTCGGGCTCTAGAGCAGTCACTTTGCTCCTCCCAGGCCCTTCTCAGTTTTGCCCTCCAGCCTGAAGACGAGATGATCTAAGCCCGGGTTCCCTCGGGCTGTTCTCCGGGACCAGCCTCGTGCTACTCAGCCTCGCTGCTGGACTTCAGGCTGGACAGGAGGTTGGAACAACGGATCGCGCTGTGTCAAGTGCTTACACTAACAGTGTGCTCTCTGGGGGTGCAATGTTTTGGGGTCAGTTATCAGCAGAATCACTTGCCTCCTGCAAAGCACCGATAGCTAAGCTCTGGAAGCGCAGATCTGTTTTGAAGTCCTAAGTAATTTCTCGCACCAGATGCTGGAGAGGGAGTTTGAGAATAAGAAGTTGAGTGGACTTTTTTTTTTTTGGTCTCGGGGATCGAACTAGGGACCTTCCGCTTGCGAGGTGGCGGAACCACTGAGCTAAATCCCTGGCCCAGAGGGCTTCTGATAAGGTCTAATTTCACAGAGGGCACAGTCCCATGCCTGTAACGATGAAGTTTCTCCACCCCTCCAGTAGAGGGCGCACTCGAGCGGGCTTTGTAGCCCGTTGTTTCCTGGGTGCTTCACCACTGGTGAGTTTGCGGGCGGTCTGCTTTGTAGAACCCATGGTATAGGCACCTCCTTACTAACCCTTCTTTGGCTGCAGCTCTGCGAGGGAGCAGCAGTGCTGGCATCAGAGGCAACGGCCACAGCTACAAACACAATTCTGGAGTAGGGTAGATCGTATAGAGCATTTTACTCTGACAGATGGAAACCCTGCTAGCTCTGTGTGTGTGTGTGGGGGGGGATAAACCCAAGGGCCTTGATCATGCAAACATTTTGCCAGGGAGCCATATCCCCAGCCCAAGGGATAGTTTTCTTTCTTTCTTTCTTTTCTTTTTCTTTCCTTCCTTCCTTCCTTCCTTCCTTCCTTCCTTCCTTCCTTCCTTCCTTCCTTCCTTCCTTTTTTATGGTACCGGACATCAAACTCGGGTCCTTGTACTTTCAAGGCAGGCGGCAGAACCACTGAGCTAAATCCCTGCCCCCAGGGATACTTTTAAGTAGGGGAGCGATATGATCTTTCTGATGTAGTAACAAAATCAGTGACTGCTCTGATGATACTAGACAAAAGGGGGACAAGATGGAAACATGAAAAAGCAGTTGCAAGGCTACTAAAATAATCCAAATTAACGATTATAGTAGTGAAAGGCAGGTGAGTACAGAATTCTGTAAGACAGGGCCAGTGAAACTTGTTGGTGGATTGGAGAGAAAAGCGAGTCCAGGATGAATCCAAGATCATAGCTCCGAATAAATGGATAAACGGCGTTGTCATTAATTGAAAGGAGACAGAAAGGTAGCTTGGGGAGTTGGGGGATATGGTGGCGATGATTAGAACTAGGAGCTTAGTTTTTCATTGTGTCAAGTTTGAGATGTCTATTATACACTTATGTAGGCAATTGGATATTATATGTCATTTTTTGTAGCCGCCGTTTTGCATCCTGCAAGTGCTCTACACTGAGCTATGCTGACACTCTTCCCTCTTGTAGTCCTTACAGTAGCCATATGAGGGTCGGGGGACTGTACTAGGGATTGAATCCAGGGAGTGCTGATCTACACCCCCAGCCCTTTTTATATTTTTATTTTGAGACTTGCTCTCATTGTATTGCCCAGGCCAGCCTGGGATTTGCCATCCTCCTGCCCCAGCCCCTTGAGTGGGTAGGATTACAGGCATGCCCTACTGCGCCAGCGGATTTGTTTGTTCTTCTGTGTATCCCATCTTACAGGTGAGGAAACAGAGGGTTGAGGTAACTTGTCTATCATACAACTAATAAAGTGGGAGAACTAGAATATAAATCTAGGCAGTTTGACTGCGGCAGTTTTACCTAATAGCTAAGTAGTATTGAGTCTGAGTGCTTGGTACAGAGTAATAGGTATTGATAAAATATCTGTTCCTCAATGAATGAATGAATGAACAAAATACATACAGCAAGCTGCCTTCCTGGGAGTCCTCTTCTGCTTGCCTATTTTCTGGGTGATCTGCACTGTTGTTAAAATAGGGAGTTAAAGTTAAGGAGGAATGGCTTATGTTAGTGATCACGACTCGGAGGTTTATCATCGGAACAACCGAACACGGCCCCCCTCCTTCAGTTCTCATGTAACTTTAGCAGCTCCACTCCGTCCCCCGTGGTACTGGATTTTGAACTCAGATCTTCACACTGAGCTATATGCCCAGCTTTTTAATTTTTTTGAGCCAAGGTCTCCCTGTGTAGTTCAGGCTGGCCTCAAACTCACAGTGATCCTCCTGCCTTAGCCTCCTAGACTGCTAGGATTGCAGGCGTACACCACGTCACCCAAGTTAGCACATTTATTTATTTATTATTTTTTTGGTACCAGGGATTGAACTCGGGACCTTGTGCTTGCGAGGCAGGCGGTGGAACCACTGAGCTAAATCCCCGACCCCTTATCAATTTATTTTTGCGACAAGGTCTCCTTAAGTAGGTCAGGCTGTCCTTGAACTATGTAGCCTCTTAGAACTTGAGGCGGTCCCTCTGTCAGCCTCCTGACTGCTGAGGTTATAGGTATGTTTTTTCCACCGCGCCTGCCACTCTTTTTCTTTTTTGGTACCGGGGATCGAACTCCGGTCCTTGCGCTTGCAAGGCAGAGCGGCGAAACCACTGAGCTAAATCCCCGGCCCTGGCCACATTTATTTTTAACAGGAGGAAAACTATAAGGTAGCCCAATTTCTGCTTTAGGGGACAATGACTGTGGAATAATCAAATTATCAGATTTGGCTGGCGAAACCGCAGGCACGCAACTCGCTCTGGGAAGCTTTGCGGGTTCCGCCGCGCCTGCGCCCTGACGCGGGGGAAAGTGCCAACTGCGGCTGCGCATTCGGCGGTGCGGCCCTCCCCAGTCACGTGTCGGAGGACCGCAGCGTGGCGGCGGCCGTGTCTGTAGCGACGGCAGGCCGTAGGGCAGTCAGGAGGTTTCCGGTTCCGGTGTAACGTTCGGCCTCCGTCTCAGGGGCTGAAGTTTGTGAGGTGAGTAGTGGCCCCCGGCCGGGGAGGATATTCTCTGGTCCGAGCGACTGGGACCAGGGCTGAGCCCCAGGAAAGGATACCGGCGGGAGAGTTGGGAGGGAAAGCGACTGAAAGAAGTGGCCGGTTTTGTGGAGAAGGGGCTGGAATGAGATTGCTGGGAGGAAAAGGGCGGGGGCGGGAAGGGGACAGCTTGGGGAGACCGGCTCCGAGGTGAGGAGTTGGGGAGGAACAGGGGGAAGAGGCCAGGTGGAAAGGCAGAGGGAGCAAAACTAGAAGAATGGGGGTTTCTGGGGGAAGCTGGGGCTCTGGCCAAGAAGAGTAAAGGACTCCTTCAGAAGATTGCTACCTGCTCATTCAGAGGACATGAGCCTGTCTTAATCTCTCACATCCCGACTACTACACAGCAGAGTAATTGTTGAGCATTTGATCTCTGGCAAAGCAAGTTATTGTTGGAAACTCTTCTTCATCGGCTGTTTAGTTTTCACATCTTCGTACTGAGGTTGGGTTGAACTTGAATACATTTGTTAGTATACTAGTTGGACGCACAGTTCATCAGCTAATATTGGTACTTCATTTATTGCATGGCTTTTCAAGTTCCTTGTACTTTCTGATGCAATTCTAGTGGAATGTAAGCCCCATTAAGGTGAGAGTTCTTGTGTGTTTTGTTCACTGCTGTATTCATCCTCAGCAATCACTACACAGATTAAGTAGTTACTTAATATTTATTGAATGAGTTAACTACTATGTAGATATGCCAGGTGCTCTCAGTTCGTAAGATGAGTAAACATGCTTAGAGGAATTAAATTGCCTAAGGGCTTGTTAATGGTGGGGCTTGGTGTCCCCCGATGTTCAGCGAGCTCTTTTCTTCACTCTTTTGGGAGCCTGGATGTGCTTCTGTATCCTTTTTGGGGATTGCATATGTTTCTTGGGGGTTTTTTGGTACTAGGGATCAAGCTCGCAACCTTGTGCTTGTGAGGCACTGAGCTAAATCCCCAACCCTGTATATGCTTCTTTTGAACAATGTATGTTTAGTATGTAGATATCTCATGATTGTATAATAGAAACATCATGAAATTATTTATATAATTTGTTTTTGTTGTTTGAGACCTGGTCTCACTATGTAGTTCAGGCTGGCCTTGAACTCCCAGCAATCCTCCTGCCTCAGCCTCCGAGTGTTGGGATTCCAACTGTGCAGCACCATGCCCAGCCCTTCATATAACTTGTTGCTTAGGCCGAAACTCGTTCACTTAGTTTCATGGCTTTAAATAACATATATGTATATCACTATTTGGCAGCAGATCTTATAGAGGGTAAACCTGTCAGGAATGTAGAAGTCAGGGCCGAGGATTTAGCTCAGTGGTGCCATGGCTGCCTGGCAAGTGCAGGTCCTGAGTTCGATCTCTGGTACCAAAAAGAATGTAGAAGTTAGCTGGGTGTGGTGGCACATGCTTGTAATCCCAGCATTCAGGAGGGTGAGGCAGGAAGATCACAGGAGTTCAAGGCCAACTCGAATTACAGAGGGAGACCCTGTCTCAAAAACAAAAAGTAGAAGTTAATCAAACTGTAGCTTTTAGAAGAATAAATGTCTGAAATCATCTTCGGGGCCGGAGATTTAGCTCAGTGGTTCCAGCGCCTGCCTCACCAGGCACAAGTTCCCGAGTTCCATCCCTGATACCAAAAAAAAAAAAATCTTCAAAGATTGATTCCCAGATCACATTGCGATTAGTGGCAATCCTAAGAAGTTAGCTTAGAAGTTGAGGTCAGTGCAGTTTATTGACTATTACCTGATATAGTCGATAAATAAATAAAATTTTCTCAGTGCTTGGGCAATTGTTTGAGATTTAGGGAGGAGAGCAAATGTAAACATGAATAACACTGAAATTTTATACCAGCTTGCATTCAGAAGTAAAGATGTGTCATGGAAAGTCCTTTATGATACTGTTTCTCTGCTGAGCTAAAAAAAATTAGAAAAATAAAGGTAAAAAGAATCCAAAGTGAAGGTACTCTTGTGAGCTGAGGGATTACTCTTATCAAGTCAGCTGAAAAACTATAGAGAATGATACAAGATAATCTGTGTATAAAATTCCCACTGGCATGTATGAAAAACTAGAGAAATGTGACAGAATATTCTTATGGATTCTGAGGTTTTATACCTGATGACTGACCTGGTTAAACCTTCCTTATTTGTATTCCTTAGAAGAGAAACCCAAGGTCAGGGCTAGGTTAGGGAATAACCTGCTTGGAAGTAGGAAAAATAGAAAGGCTTTCCTCTGGATGAACTTTGTTATTTCTTCAGTCTTGGAAGTTGAACCCAGAGCCTTGCAAGCGCCCTACTATTGAGCTCCATCCCCAGCATTTTATCTGACAGTCTGGCTGAGTTTGCCTGGCCTGAAAACTGAGATCCTCCTGCTTTAGTCTCCCAAGTAGATGGAATTACAGGTGTGTACCACCATGTCCAGCTTGGATGGACTTTTCAGTCATGTTTTCATGTAATGTTTGTCAGGATTAAAGAGAAGCTAGAGCCAGGGATTTAGCTCAGTGGTTCCGCCACCTGCCTTGCAAGCACAAGGACCCAAGTTCGATCCCCAGTACCAAAAAAACAAATAAATAAATAGAAAGGAAGCTAGAACTCATTTCTCCAATCTAGGTTATTCTCAGAGGTTGTTACTCCACAGATGTCATTGAATGAGTGATACTGAGTTAGGGTTAAAAATTAAATAGAATCTATTTCCTTTGCTTAGAAGTATAGTTCTCAGGGAAAGTATTTCCTTGCAAATGAGGTAGAGGAATTTGCATAGGGATTGAGAATAAGTGTAGGGTAGGCATTCTTGATATACTAGGCATTGTTCTGGATCTTTTAAATTTTTTCATATTCTCTAACTTAACTCTTTCCTGGTTTCTTTTTAGGTGTAGTATTGAATCCCATTTGAGCTGTCATTCTCCTTTTTTGGGAAAATGGCACTGTCTAAGAGGGAGCTGGATGAGCTGAAACCATGGATAGAGAAGACAGTGAAGAGGGTACTGGGTTTCTCAGAGCCCACAGTGGTCACAGCAGCACTGAATTGTGTGGGGAAGGGCATGGACAAGAAAAAGGCAGCTGGTATGTATGACTTTTGATGTAACCTAGGGGACGATCACAAACACTGCTTTGAACATTCCCAAATTCTCCCTTTTAGGAGCATCTAAACAAAGGTCAGGCCCACATTTTATTTTTTCTTGCATTATAATGAAAATAGTTTAACATTTCTCCTATTGCTTATTTCTTGTCTTACTTATGGCATATGGTAAACCTCAGACTGACTCTCTGACCACCATACAGAGTCACCTATGTTAGATTCATTTAGGAAATATGCTAAAGTCAGAGAGACATATTCAGATTCAGCTTGACATCTCAGCACATGGAAGTCTCTAATAAAGTACATTTAAAAAGTTAATGGAGGTAGATTTTCCTAATAGTAGTCTACAACTTGTTATTTGGGAAAATTTTGAGTGAGTTATTTATCTTAAAAACTCTGATGCTTGGGCCGGGGATTTAGCTCAGTGGTTCCACCGCCTGCCTCGAAAGCAGAAGGACCTGAGTTCAATCCCCGGTACCAAAAGAAAAAAAAGAAAACAAAACTGATGCTTAACTTAAAACAGGTTGCACTGGGGCTATGCTGCTTCCATTCTAAAAAACTTATAACTGTATTTTTACTTCACACAGCAGGGTAATTTAATGTAACAAAATGCATGGGAATCCTACAAAGAACTTTTCTTTTTGGTACTGGGAATTGAACTTGGGACCTCATGCTTGCAAGGCAGGCGGTGGAACCACTGAGCTAAATCCCAGCCCTCTACAAAGAACTTTTAAAAAGACATTTCCCTCCTTCCTGTGGAAACAATTCCAGTGCTAGGGCCAGGGATTTAGCTCAGTGGTGCCATGCCTGCCTCACAAGTGCAAGGTTCTGAGTTCAATTCCTGGTAGAAAAAAAATTCCAGTGCTAGTATATGTTGCATACCTAGTACTGGACTCTATACTCTAACCTTTTCAATGCTACCATCTCTTTTCCTGGCAGACCATCTCAAACCTTTTCTTGATGATTCTACACTCCGATTTGTGGATAAACTGTTTGAAGCTGTAGAGGAAGGCCGAAGCTCCAGACATTCCAAGTCTAGCAGTGACAGGAGCAGAAAACGAGAGCTAAAGGTAGGTTCTGGTTCAGTATCTAATGAGCTCAGGAGTGTTTTCGATAACAAAGTTGTTGAATTTCCCTGGCTTATACATTTATATCCACCATTAGAATACCTAATGCTCAAGAGAGGTCCTTAGACTAAAGTAGAGGAAGTGAATTTGTATTAGCACCATGTTATGGTGATACACTAAGTTCATTTGAAATATTTTCAGAATTAATAGGACCTTTGTCCTGTTTTTATAGAGTTAGGAGTTTTGGTTCTCTTGTTTCTCCAGGTCCCTCCCTCCTTACTACTACATACAAGTTGATTGCACTAAAATTTTGTATCTTGATTTATTTGAAGTTTACTGAGTTGCTTCAGAATAGGAGTCCATTGCTACCTAAATTGTAGATCTCGTTGCTCATTTGTAGATAGATTTCTCTGCATTGCACTTGTAGATAGGATACCTAAAAACAATTATTATATACTCTTGAGAGCTTACTATTTTCTGTATAGCGTATTGCAGGTTATCTGGCTCCCTGGGGTACAAAGTGGCTGGCAGTACTCATTTTTCCTACTACACTTTGTATTCTGTTATTACTGATTGGTCGTGGCCTTTTTCAGTATTAGGCATGCCAATTAACTGATCCCTCTCTCATTTCACTCAAGTAACCAACCTCTCTACCACATTTCCCTCTGTTTCTCTTTTTTAAAAAGTTTCTGTGGTTTGCATCAAACCTTCCAAAGTACTTTTGATTTCTTGAGTATCCCATTGATTTCCAGAGACACAAAGAGTAGCTAAGCAATGTCTGCTTGGTTCTTTGACTAGGCTATGGAACCAATCAAAATAGAAATTCTTGTGCCTTCTATTTTTAGAGCATTTAGAGTAATCAGAGGAATGAGAGATAGTCTTGCCTTTTAAAAATTGGCAAATTATGGGGCCGGGGATTTAGCTCAGTGGTTTCGCCGCCTGCTGCGCAAGAGCAAGGACCCAAGTTCGATCCCCGGTACCAAAAAAAAAAAAGGCAATTTAAAAAAGATGGAGGGTTCAATAAAATGTAGTCACAAATTTTAAAATCTGAGTAGCAGTTCCATATAAACTTTAGGGTTGATTATAGAACTTCAAACTTACACTGAATTTTGTGACTTAAGGGGAAATAATTAATCCACAGTATACACAGATCTGTACATGAAGGTTATATTATGATAGAGCATAGTACCACTGTATAAGTGCTGAGACCATGCTATGAGTAGAGTGACTAGAGTGGGTGGGATTAGTAAAAATGGTTTCTTGAAGGAGGTGTCTAGATAGCCATGGGATATGGGTCCCATATTTGGTCCATTCAGGTCCCCACTCCACACAATATATTATGGGAGAGTCCTTTTTCTTGAACTGTAGGAGTTCCAGGAAGCGCTCGCCCCTGGCCGAGGATATGTCCTTGCAAAACACGAGCCCTCCTAGTGAAGAGGGGATGTCACCCAAAGCCTACCACCGGTGTGTACATTTGCTTTTTCCCATTGTCCCTTCCAGTTGGCCACTCTTGGTCCTATTAAATTCACCTTGCAAATTAGCCTATTTGAGTTCCAATTGTGAAAATAAAGTGTTACTGGGGAATACTGAGAAAGAGAAAGCCCCTGTCTTGGAAGAGCTTAGTTGGGAGAAACTACCACCACTGAAAGACCTAACACTCGGCAAACAATATTAACAATGTAGTTTAACTTAATATGAACCAAGCTCTTAAGTGCTAAGAAGATGTGAAACAAAAATTTGATCTCAGTGGTTAAGGTTATAATGAGGAGAACTTCCTGGAGGAGGTGAGTTTTAGACAGGATTTGAAATAGGGGTTGTGCAAAAGTTGAGGAAAAGCATTGCAAATGTGGGCAGTAGCATTTGCAATGACCTTGAGATGGGAACATTTATGAGAATATGGGGATAAAGTTTGCTTGACTGGAGTAGAACAATGAAGTTGAGTGAAATGGTCCACTTGGTGGAGAGTCTAGAAGACCCTGCTCTGGCAAGTAGTTATTTGCAAGGTTGCATCATATTCCCCTGGGAAAACCACAGAATGCTAGTAGGGGCTAGAATAATTCTTCCCTTCTCCCCAAGGAGAGGGATATAATATTTTTTTCATCTTGGGTTCCCCTAGGAGGTGTTTGGTGATGACTCTGAAATCTCCAAGGAATCATCAGGAGTAAAGAAGCGACGAATACCCCGTTTTGAGGAGGTAGAAGAGGAGCCGGAGGTGATCCCTGGGCCTCCATCAGAGAGCCCTGGCATGCTGACTAAGCTCCAGGTCAGTTACAGGGCACTGGAAGCACAGTGATTTCAGGAGTTGAAGTGAGAGGAGCAGGGGTCCATTCTTGCTGTGATCTTGATTTGAAATAGTATTTAGTATTTGGGGAAGTTTTTAATTCCCTGCTTTACATTTTAGTATTCCTTAATTTAACCAGGAGTATTCCAGTTAAGAATTACTGAAATTGTGTTTACTGAGTACCTACTGTGTGTCAAAGTATATTACATTATTTCCCCAATATCTAACTCCATTGGGTCATTGGGAAAATTAAATGATCAGAATTCAGCTTGATGCTGGGCATGATGGCACATGCCTATACAGTAAGTCCCTGACTTATGAACAAGTTCTGTTCCAGGAGAACATTCATAAGTCAGATTCTGTAAGCCCAACAAAGTGAGTCTTATACATATCTGACACAAATATACAATGTAAAGCATAAGAAAACCAAATATACTCACTCAAAAATGCTGTAAATAAACTATTTTTACTTTTACAATTACCTTAAAATGGTAGACAACATGAGCTACTTCTGCAGTTTGTTTGCATCCACAAATGTTTGTAATTTGAGGTCCGTTCATATCTTTGAAAGTTTGCAACTTGAATGTGCTTAAGTTGGGGACTTACTGTAATTCTAGCTACTCAGAAGACAGTCACAAGGATCATAAATTCTAGCCCTACTTGGGGAAATTAGCAAGACTGTCTCAAAAAGGTGGATGGCAAAAAAAAAAAAAGATGCCAGGCGTAGTGATGCATAGCTATAATCCCAGCACTCAGGAGGCTGAGGCAGGATGATTGCCTTGAGTTAGACGATGGCCTGAATTACATAGTGAGACCCTGTCTCAAAAAACCAAAACCAAAACAAAACAGAACTCATCTTGAATACAGAAAAGAATTTTCAGATATGCAAAGGAGATACAACCCATTCATAAATAATTTCAAGTTGACTTGTTTTTTATGTAACAAGTGTTTTTAAGGTGGATATTGTTCAATAATTTTGATATATATAAGCAATAAATATTTCATTAACCATTTTTAAAAATTGAGAACAGGTGTGATGCCACATACCTATATTTCCAGTACTCTTGAGAGGCTGAGGCAGGAGGATTATACATTTGAGTCCAATCTGGGCACTTCAGCAGTTTAGTCAAAATGAGAAGGGCTGGGAATGTAATTCAGTGTGAAGATCTTCAGTTCAATCTCTGGTACTGGAAAAAAAATTAAAGAAGGGAATAGCATAGCTATATAAATTTGGGGAGGGATAGAATACTATTTTATATGGATGGATGGATTTTATATATATGATTCTTGGGAGAAAAGGAATTAAGAATTTTTTTTTTTTTTTTGGTACTGGGGATTGAACTCAGGTCCTTGAGCTTGCGCAGCAGGTGGCGAAACCACTGAGCTAAATCTCTGGCCCTAAGAATTTTTTTTAAAAAGAATGGGCATGGAAGAATTTAATCCTCTTTTTTAATTAAAAAACTTCTGACTGATATAAATATATCACCTGGTCAAAAGGAATGTTAAAAGCCAATTTTGAAAAATATCTTGAAGCTAGGTGTACTGGTACATGCCTGTAATCCCAGCACTAGGAAGGCTGAAGCAGGAAGGTTGACACGTTCAGGGCCCGCCTTCATTACATAGTGAGCTTAAGGGCAACCTGTCTGAAAAAAACAAAAAATAGGGTCTTGCTTTATAGTGCAGGTTGGCCTTGAAACCATGGCCATTGACCAGCACTCCCAATTTCAGCACTCTGGGAGGTTGAGGCAGGAGGATTGCAAGTTTGAGCCCAACCTGGGCAACTTAGGAATTTAATGAGACCTTATCTCAAAAAAATAAATAAATAAATTTTAAAAGGGGCTAGAGATGGAGCTCAGGGTTCAATAATGAGTACCACCACCACAACAAATAAATTAAACCATTTTAATTTATTTATAATTTGTATGGGTTTTGTTGGGAGGTTTGCATGCATTATTTACATGTTCAAAATAGCCCTGTAAAGTACTATTTTCCTTCCTTTTAGACATTGGGAGGCTTAGAGATTAAGTACCTGTTCAACACAGGTAGAAAGTAACAGAGTTAAGAATCATACTCAGAAGGAGGGGAAGAAGGGTTGAAGGGAGGGGATTGGGGAAAAAAAGAATCGAGATATATTTGTACAGGGGCTGGGGATTTAGTTCAGTGGTGCCACCCCTGCCTGGCAAGCGCAAGGTCCTGAGTTCGATCCGGTACCAAAAACAAAAAAAAAGGATATATGTGTACAGGTACAAATTCCCTGTGATGAGGTGTGATCATTATGTATATCAAAAGAGTACCGATAAAATTAATAAAAGAATCAGTGAAGTTTGTGTCTTAAATCACCAGGTTATGTTACTATGTAACATACCAATCTTGCCTTGGGAAGAAGGTTGAAAAATTCTAGTGCTCAGATGTGTAGGTTTGTCTTTACTGTATTTTCTAGTCTGTGTGCAGGAAAAATATGTTGGAATCATGTGGGAATTTTTAGGTTGCTAGATCTGAGTGCATTTTGGGTTTAGCAGCCTGTATGGGAGAAATAAAAAGGAGAAATTAACACCTGTTCAATTTTTCCTACCTGGAAAGCAGATTAAACAGATGATGGAGGCAGCAACACGACAAATCGAGGAGAGGAAAAAACAGCTAAGCTTCATTAGCCCCCCGACACCTCAGGTACTGTGGCCATGTTATTCTTTGGTACTTTTCTTGCCAGCCATTCAAATGAGAATTCAAAAGGTTCCCCTCCACAGTCATCTACCATAGTCTGCGTGGGGTGTATGTGTGTGTAGATCTGTCTGCCTATTTCAATCCCTTTGACTTCTCTCTCTGACAGCCAAAGACTCCTTCTTCATCCCAGCCAGAGCGACTTCCAATAGGCAACACTATACAGCCTTCCCAGGCTGCCACTTTCATGAATGATGCCATTGAGAAGGCAAGGAAAGCAGCTGAACTACAAGCTCGAATCCAGGCCCAGCTGGCACTGAAGCCAGGGCTCATTGGCAATGCCAACATGGTGGGCCTAGCTAATCTCCATGCCATGGGCATTGCTCCCCCGTGAGTATAGATTCATGGAATCTTTTGTCATATTTGAAGCTTAAGAAGTAGTACCTTTGAATGTTACTGATTCTCTTTTTTCGAAGAACCTAAAGTATCTCTTACAGTTGTGTAGTTCATATGATCTGTAAATACTGATTGAATTTCTTGGTTTCCTTGTTTTAGAGTTGTTATCTTTTTATAATTGGTAGAACTGAGAGTACCATTATTTGTTTAATATTGGAGCTAGCAATAGAACCAGGTCCCTGAGTTTTGTTTTTTGTTTTTTGGTACTGGGGATTGAACTGGGGACCTTGCGCTTGCAAGGCAGGCGGCAGAACCACTGAGCTAAATCCCCAGCCCAGGTCCCTGAGTTTTTAATCCAGGGGTTTACCCATTAAACAACATTGAGTAAGAACATATCTAAGGATTCTCTACAACTAGGCAAAGATGTTAGACTGTAGCTTTAGTGTTTCTGATTGGCCTGGCATCACATGACTGACTTGAGAATGTAAGAATAGGAGGTGGGTATATAGCTCAGTGATAGCATGCATGCAACCCTGGATAAGAGTCCCAGGACTGCAAAAAAAAAGAGTAAAAAATGATAGGATTACAAAATCTCAATATAATTTATAAATTAATTTCATGTGATTATACTTTAAATATGCAGTTTACTGTGTGGTGTTTTGCAGTGCTAGGGATTGAATCTGGGGCCCTGCACATATTAGGCAAGTGCTCCATGACTGAGCTACATCCCCAGCTCCAATTTGATATTTTTACACTTAATCTTACCCAAAAGGCTGAGATTCAATCCAGTTTGATGTTTTTTAGTCAAGATTTTATTATTATTATTATTATTTTTTTTTTTTTTTTTTTGGTACCGGGGATCAAACTCGGCTCCTTGAGCTTGCGTAGCAGGTGTTGAAACCACTGAGCTAAATCCCCAGCCCCAAGATTTTGTTATTCATTGATGGGGTTGTTGTTCCTAGAATTATTTTACATTTTATTTTGTTTGATTTTTTTATTGCATTATTGTTCTGTGTAGGAATTTTTTGTGTGTGGTCTTTTTCAGGAAAGTAGAGTTAAAAGATCAAACGAAACCTACACCACTGATCCTAGATGAGCAAGGACGGACTGTAGATGCAACAGGCAAGGAGATTGAGCTGACACACCGCATGCCTACACTGAAAGCCAATATTCGCGCTGTAAAGAGGGAACAGTTCAAGCAGCAGCTCAAAGAAAAGCCATCAGAAGACATGGAGTCCAATACTTTTTTTGACCCCCGAGTCTCAATTGCCCCTTCCCAGCGCCAGAGACGCACTTTTAAATTTCATGACAAGGGTAAATTTGAGAAGATTGCTCAACGATTACGGACAAAGGTATCTGGCCTAGAGTATAACCCAGAATTTACAAGAAGTTAGGAAGCTGACAGAAAGTACTGTGATTTCAGTTCTATTTTGGGGAATTAGATAAACAGGTGATTTAAAGCAGGTATTTCATGTTTTAAATACTATATTTATTCCTGGAATACTTGATTTTTGCTGATTTCTCTTCCTAATTACTTTCTACTTAAGTGGAAATAAATTGAATTTGAAATTTTTCACCTACACTGACAGTGGAGAGAAATAATTCAAAACTTTTTAAGTGACTAAGAAAAACTAGCCTGGTGTTAATATTTGAGGCAAACAGTCTACACACCTGGAGAGTCGATTGACTGTGTGTTTAGTTTTCCCTTCTCCTTTTTGTTCTTCCAAAGTGATTTCATTAGATTAAATTTCATTTCTGCATATCTGCTACAGGCAGACACTGAAGGTGAAATGAAGGGGATGGGGATAGATGTGTGTAAGTAAAGGATAAAATAAAGCAGAGCACCTCTTTTTTCCTATGCTTTCAGTAGTTGAACTCATATTACACGTAAAGTTCAACAAGGGGTATTAAAAATTTGGGCTTCTACCAATTGGTTGTTTCCAATTTATCTTCCTCTCTTGGTTTATCTTTAGGCTCAACTGGAGAAGCTGCAGGCAGAGATTTCACAGGCTGCTCGAAAAACAGGCATTCATGCTTCAACTAGGCTTGCCCTCATTGCTCCTAAGAAAGAGCTAAAGGAAGGAGATATCCCAGAAATCGAGTGGTGGGACTCTTACATCATACCCAATGGCTTTGACCTGTGAGTTTGTTAGTTAATACCTTTGAATATGGCTATACTTGTTTGTTCAGTTTTGTTTGCAGGACTAGGAATTGAACCCATGGCCTTTACACTGAGCTACATCCATGGCCCTTATTAATTTTTAATTTTTTATTCTTTATTTTATTATTTTATTTTTTTGGTACCAGGGATCGAACTCAGGTCCTTGCGCTTGTGAGGCAGCCGGTGGAACCACTGAGCTAAATCCCTGGCCCTAATTTTTTATTTTGAGACAGGGTCTCATAACTCACCAAGTTTCCTAGGCTGGGCTTGAACTTGCAGCCTTCCTGCATCAGCCTCCTAGAGTGTTGGGGGTGGGTAGGCATCCGCTGCTGCCACCACATTCAGCAGTCTTAGGTTTTTCTTACCCTTCCTTTTTCAGCCTCTGTCCCTGGATCTTATTTCAGCTAATGAAAGGTGCCAGGGATTTAGCTCAGTGATTCCGCTGCCTGCCTCGAAAGCACAAGGACCCGAGTTTGATCCCCAGTACCCAAAAAAAACAAAATCAAATCAACTAATGAAAGGATATGCTGTCTGTCAGTGGCTTTAGGATAGAAAAAAAATTGAGAATGACTGGTGGAGAGTGCATCCAGCCTTAGTGAGACACAGTGTTCTCATCCTAAAAATTAAGTGTAATCCAGTTTTGTGTTATAGGTATGTAAGTGCCGAAAACATTAAAACATAGAGAATGGGGGTTTTTTTTCCATTGTTTTTCTGAGACTCCTCTCTTGGCATCATCTTTACCCACATATCCTGTTGTTTCTCCTTCCTCCAATTTTAGTACAGAGGAAAATCCCAAGAGAGAAGATTATTTTGGAATCACAAATCTTGTTGAACATCCAGCCCAGCTCAATCCTCCAGGTAACGTACAGGTTACACAAGGCTCTGGACCAGCATTATCCAGTAGAACTTAGCTATAGCTGCAGTCTTGCACACCACCACTGCACACCTGCCCATCTTTGATCTTTTCTTTGTCTTCAGTCTTTCCCTTTTTTTTGGTAGTACTGGCAACTGAACCCAGGGGCTCACACATATCAAGCAAGTGCTTTACCACTGAAGTGTATCTCTAGCTCTTTTTTAAATTAATTTTTTGCTATACTAGGGATTGAAACTAGAACTTTCACCCTGAGCTACATCCCCAGCTATTTTTATTTTGAGACAGGGCCTCACCAAGTCTAAATTAAATTGCACAGGCTGAGCTCAGATTTGCAATTTGAGCAAATTTGGCCTTAGCCTCTCAGACTGTTGAGACCACAGGTGTGTATCACCATGCCTGGCTTTTCCTTTCCCTTTTGCATTTTGCACTAAAAGTCTTATGAGTTCAGTCAAAAAAGAGGTTTTAGTTGTGGCTGTGGTTTCAACTGCTGAATGCTTTGGGTAAGTCACTTAGAACCTTGAGAGTTTCCTCATATGTACAGATACTAACTCTGATATGTGTTCTTCAAGAGTTGTATGGATCAGGTCAAGCATAGTGGTACATGTCTAATCCCAGCACTCTGGGAGATTGAGACAGGAGGATCACAAGGTAGAGTCCAGCTTTGGCAACTTAATGAGATCCTGTCTCAAAAATATAAAAAGGCTGAGGATATAGCTCAGTGCAAAGCACCTGGGTTCAATTCCCAGTACCACTAAAAAAAAAAAAAAAAAAAGTTATGTGGATCAGGAATTATTTAATCTTCAGCAGGCATGGTGGGCCACACCTATAATCCCAGCACTTGGGAAGCCAGGCAGGAGGATCTTTGTGAGTTTGAAGCCAGCCTGGGGTACGTAGTGAGTTCAAGGACAGCCTGAACTACACAGCGAGACTCTGTTTCAATCCCACTCCCAATAAAATAAAGTAATGATTTAATCTCTTTTACCAAACTTGAGATGAACAAAGAGAGAAAATTCTAATTGGTAAATTTGCTTGACATTTTCTTTAATAAGTTCAGAAAAATAAAGACCTTGAGATACAGGTTAAACATTCATATCTGAAATGCCTAAGATCAGTGTGTTTCAGATTTCCTGGCTTTTTGGATTTTGAAATATTTGCGTAGACTTTGTAATGGAGTTCCCTGCCTCCCCCTTTTTGGTGATACTAGGGACAGGGTTTCTCTAAGTCATTAAGTTGTCCAGGCTGGCCTCTAACTTCCAATCTCCTGTTTCAGCCTCCCAGAGCATACAAGAGTAGGCCACCACTCCTCTACTGCCAGTTCGGTGTTTCTAATCCAAAACCACAAAATATGCTAAAAATTCTTAAGTTTTTTGTTTGTTTATTTATTTTTGGTACCGGGATCAAACTGGGATCAAACTCAGAACCTTTCAGTTTTGAGGCAGGTGGTGGAACCACAGAGCTAAATCCCTGGCCCTGATTTTTGTTTTTTTTAAGAAAGGCTTTCACTATATAGTTTAGGCTGGCCTTGAACTAACTATGTAGCATAGGCTGACCTTGAACTCTGGGTGATCCTGCTGCCTCAGCCTCCCAAGTGCTGGAATTACAGGTGTGCACCACTATGCCCGGCCCAAAGTTTTGGATTTTGAACCATGGCATCTTTTGGATTTTCAAGTTAGGGGCATTCAATCTATGATACAAGTTGTGATCACTGAATTTTACTTAACCAGAAAATATCTGTAATCAGTGTGATTCATTTGAAGAATGGAAAGATTTTATTTTTGGTTTTTAATTATTAATTAAACCTCTTCTGCAAGTCTAGAGGATTTTTCCCATCCCCTGTGACTTCAAAATTATAAATGTTATTGTCTAGGGGGCCGGGGATTTAGCTCAGTGGCACCGCACCTGCCTCAAAAGCACAAGCTCCTGAGTTTGATCCCCGGTACCAGGGGCGAAAAAATGTTATTGTCTAGGCCAGTGATTTTCAAGTTGTAGTCCATAGAAATATCAAAGTGCAAGAGGTAGGACCTTAATAGATTCCTCAGTCCCTTTCAGCTATCCCAAATCTTCGCACAGAGCAACTAGAACAGGCCTATTTAATTTGTTTTCTCTGCTATATTTCTCTTCATGAAAGAGTTTAACTGGTTGAAGAAAAACAATATAGAATACCACTTATGAATACTTTTTAAAAACAATCATGCGAGGGGCCAGGGATTTAGCTCAGTGGTTTCGCTGCCTGCTTCGCAAGCGCAAGGACCCGAGTTCAATCCCCGGTACCCAAAAAAAAACAAAACAAAAACATCATGTGATCCCTATTACATACAGTTTAAAAATAACTACCAGTAATTCAACTATAAGTCTTTTAAATGTGATGATACTCACCTAAGTGCTTCTAATATTCTTACTCTTTTGGTATACTCATTTCTCTGCATGACAGTTGACAATGACACACCAGTTACTCTGGGGGTTTATCTTACCAAGAAGGAACAGAAGAAACTTCGGAGGCAAACTCGAAGGGAAGCACAGAAGGAACTGCAAGAGAAAGTAAGGCTGGGCCTGATGCCTCCTCCAGAACCCAAAGGTACATGTCTTAGTTGGCCCTGCTACTAAAAAGGTGGCAGGTTTCTCTATTTAATAAATTTGAGAGGAACCTTTACATTTCTCTTTGAGTGTTTTTTCTTTATCAGAATTATTCATGGGTTCTTCTTTCCCTAAATTCTTGTTTTGTTTGTTTGGTTTTTCTTTTCTCTCTCTTTTTTTTTTTTTGAGAACAGGGTCTCATGATGTAATTCAGGCTGGTCTTGAACTCCAGGTAATTTTCCTGCCTCAGCCTTTCAAATGCTAGGATTATAGACATGCACCATCACGCCCAGTTCCTTTCCCTAAATTCTGTACAATCTTTCCTTATAAAGACAGGTCAACACATTCATTGGAGAGGTCATATAAGGTTTGTTTTTAAGCATTATTGATTACGTAAGATTTTTTTTTTTTTGGTATGGGGATCGAACTTGGGTCCTTGCACTTGCAAGGCAGGCAGCAGAACCACTGAGCTAAATCCCCGGTCCAATTATGTAAGATTTTGATTTTTCTGGAAGAATGTACTAGTCTTGAAATTCATGAAGATAGTTGCTTTTTTAAATTATTTTTTATTTATTTATTTATTTTTTTGCTACCAGGGATCAAACTCGGGACCTTGCACTTGACAGGCAGGTGTGGCACTGCATTTTTAATTTTTAAAATGACAGTACAGTGTCGTGTGTGTGATAGTGTACACCTGTAATCCCAACCACTCAGGAGGCTGGGCAGGATGATCACAAGTTCAAGCCTGTCTGAGGCACATAGAAAGACCATGTTTTAAAAAACCGAAAAACAGTGCCGGGGATTTAGCTTAGTGGTTTCATCGCCTGCTGCACAAGCACAAGGACCCAAGTTTGATCCCCGGTACCCAAAAAATAAAAAAAGAACCCAAAAACAGAGTGGAAAGTTCCAAAGGAAATAAGTTCCTTGTTGTTCAGAATTAAAATGCATACCCGTTTTTCATGTTGTGTGAACTTCTACACAAGCTGAGTTAGCTGGCTATGGTGGTGCATGCCTATAATCCTAGCACTCAGGAGGCTGAGGCAGGATGATTGCCTTAAGTTCAGTACCACCCTGGACTACATAGTGAGACTCTTGTCTCAAAGGAAAAAAAAAGCTGAGTTAGGTAGGATTTTCAAGGTAACTTATTGGAGGAAGTGAGTATTGAGCAGAGATTTGAAATGCTAAACAATATCAACTGGGAGAGAAGAAATAACAGGTTATTCCAGCTCAAGAAGTAACTTAGGAGATTGATCACTGTATTCTTTCCCTTGCAGTAAGAATTTCTAATTTGATGCGAGTATTAGGAACAGAAGCTGTTCAAGACCCTACAAAGGTAGAAGCCCATGTCAGAGCTCAGATGGCTAAAAGACAGAAGTAAGTGCCATGGGATTGGGTGGAAGCCAGGGCAAGTGCCTTTTCCAACCTCTTCTGGGGGATCCACATTTGGAGGGAGGGGAGAGTCCTCCGTTGCTCTCTCTTTCCCTTAGCCCTGCCTCTGATCTTCAATGCCTTTCTCACTTGTGGATGTCCTTCCTGTCACGACAGAGCTCATGAAGAGGCCAACGCTGCCCGAAAACTTACAGCAGAACAGAGAAAGGTCAAGAAAATTAAAAAGCTTAAAGAAGACATTTCACAGGGGGTACACATATCTGTATATAGGTAGGTGTCCATACTAGGCCAGCCTTCCCCTTAGAAATATTAAAATACTTCCCCAGTGCTTAAAGCAGAATCATTGTGGCCTAAAGTGTACCCAGCACCATTCCTTACTCTTGCTTACTTGACCCTAGTGTGAATCAAGAGCAAGTAAGTTTTTTACAGTGGAGAGAGTTAAAGAGTTATTTTTATGGTACACTCATTCTTCATCTCAAGTCTTTTTTTTTTTTTTTTTTTTGGTACTGGGGATCAAACTCAGGTTCTTCTGCTTTTGAGGCAGGCGGCAGAACCACTGAGCTAAATCCCCGGCCCTTCATCTCAAGTCTTATAGAACAATATTTGTTCAGCAGAATAAAGAAGTGAATGTACTTGTTCAGCCCAAGTTATTGAGGATTGTTTGTCCTTTGTGAAATATAAAATATCCTATTTCTTCAGAAAGCAGTAAAAATTTTTTTCCTCAGTAAATCAAATCTTTTTTTTTTTTTAAACAATTGAGATTTTTATTTTTATTTTATTTTTTGGTACCAGGGATTGAACTTGAGTCCTTGTGCTTGCACAGCAGGCGGCGAAACCACTGAGCTAAATCCCCAGCACAGTAATCAAATCTTTATCCTGCTATATTACAGTAATGCTTTTATTCTTGCTCCAAAATATATTTGTACATTATAAATACTTTTAAACCTTTGTATTGATGTTTTCATTGTATTTTTTTAAGTTAAATACATATGTATAATCTTTTTTTTTTTTTTTTTTTGGTACCGGGGAAGCAGGTGTCAGAACCACTGAGCTAAATCCCTGGCCCCTATAATCTATTTTTTAAATTGCTTATTTCTGTTAACTAGTTGTTTATCATAATTAGTGGTACATAATTACAAAAGTAGTGAATGCTTATAATAGTTTAAAAATTCTTACAATGCAAAAGGGTACTTACTGAGGATCCCTTTCCTATTCTCTAATCTTTTAGGACACTATGAGTAATTCCTAGTAACAGTTTTTCATCTCTCTAGAAAATTTTCATGCATTTCATACAAAATTTTCATGATATTAAAAAAAAAATTTTTTTCCATGACATTATAGATTTCTAGAAAGCAAAGGGTGTATAGGTCTTTACATTGTCAAGAACAGTGGGCTTATATGTACTTTTATTTAGTAAGTTTTCTGTTTTGTTTCGTTGGTACCGGGGATCAAACTCCGGTCCTTGTGCTTGCGAGGCAGGTGGTGGAACCACTGAGCTAAATCCCCAGCCCAATATACTTACTTGTAGATGATAGTAAATACCTGTTTCATTCGTAGTAAATTTTGATTACCTACTATTTAATGTAAGGTATATACTGCTACACTTTGAAGAAGTATGAGATCCTGAAAATAGACTTATTTGCTCCAGAAGGCCTTTGTTTTCTTTGGCCGGGGCGGGGGGGGGGGGGGTTGTGATACCAGGGATCAAACAAGACCTTGCTGAGCCACATCCCTGGCCCCTAAAAGGCCTTTGTTTTTAGAGAGAAAACCATTTTGGAGTCATCTGTTTAGTTGCCACTCTTTCAGAAAGCTACTAATGCTAAAATTGAAAACATAACGAAACTTTCCCTCCTCTAGAGTTCGAAATTTGAGCAACCCATCCAAGAAGTTCAAGATTGAGGCCAATGCTGGGCAGCTGTACCTGACAGGGGTGGTGGTACTGCACAAGGATGTCAACGTGGTAGTAGTGGAAGGGGGTGAGTCTGAAAATGTTGAGGGAGACTGTCCCTAGACAACCCTAAGCCTAGTGATTTGCATTGTGGGGAGAAGTAAGTAAAATATATTTTAGAGCCATACCTAGATACGATATAATATGCTGGGACTCTGTGTGTTTATTAGAGTAGAAGGTCACAGATGAGGTTTCCGGGATTGCATCAACTACCACACTAATGTCTGAGCATTAGATGAGCTCAGAGGTCCTCTGAACCTCATTGTTTGTTATAGCTCTGGCAAAATTCTCCTTCTCTATTTCCAGGCCCCAAGGCCCAGAAGAAATTTAAGCGTCTTATGCTGCATCGGATAAAGTGGGATGAACAGACATCTAACACGAAGGGAGATGGTGAATGGGGGTTAGCCGGGATGGAGCGGGAGAGCTGTGGGAAGTGGGAAGGTGCCTCTGTCCATTCCATTTTACCTCCCCTTTGTTTTTTGGTACCGGGGATCGAATTCAGGTCCTTGCACTTGTGCAGCAGGTGGCGAAACCACTGAGCTAAATCCCTGGCCCTGTTTTGTTTTGTTTTTTTAGACAGGGTCTCGCTATGCAGTTCAGGCTAGCCTTGAACTCATTACGTAGCCCAGGCTGCCCTTGAACTCACGGGAATCCTCCTGTCTCAGCTGCCCAAGTGCTGGGATTACAGATGTGTGCCACCATGCCCAGATGTAGGATGGGGTTATGACTCTGATAGAGTATTTCCTAGCATGTGAAAGATCCTGGGTTCAATCCCTAGCACTAGAAAAAAGTCTTTTTGTCCAATTTTATCTTTTTTTTGTGGTTCTAAGGATCAAACCCAGAGCTTCATGCATGTTAGGTGAGCACTCTACTGTTGAACTACATCTCCAGTCCTTTTTATTTTTTATTATTTTTGTTTTTGTTTTTCGGTATCAGGGATCAAACTCAGGTCCTTGAGCTTGGGAGGCAGGGAGCGGAACCACTGACTAAATCCCTGGCCCAGCCCTTTTTATTTTGAGACAAAGTCTTGCTAAGTTGTCCAAGCTGACCTTGAACTCGATATCTTCTACCCTCAGCCTCCTGAGCTGTCAAATACATATATTTGATATTCTTCTGGCCATTGTACTTCTATTGATTTTTTTTTCTTTTTCTGGTACCAGGGATTGAACTCGGGACCTTGCGCTTGCGAGGCAGGCGGCAGAACCACTAAGCTAAATCCCTGGCCCATCTATTGATACTTATTATTCCCATCTTTGAGGACTAGATTAGTATTTAACATCTGCAGAAAGCATCACTTTTTTCTTGTTTGTTTGAGATAGGGTCTAAGTATGTTGCCCAGGCTAATCTCTTAACTCCTGGGCTCAAAGACCCTTCCCTTTACCCCTCAGGTAGCTGGGACTGCTAAGCCTGGTGGCACATACATGTAATCCAGGGGGCTAGCCAGGCATGATAGCACACGCCTATAATCCCAGCACTTGGGAGGCTGAGGCAGCAGGATCACCACCAGTTTGAAGCCAGCATGGGCTACATGGTAAGTTCAAGGCCAGCCTGAACTACATAGCAAGACTCTTTCCAAAAAAATAAAAAAAATACTCGGGGCTAAGGCAGGAGGATTGTTGAGAATTTAAGGCCATCCTGGACTACATTGCAAGACCTTGTTTCTGAAAAAACCCCCAAAATACCAAGTACCTGGGACTACACAAATGTACCACTGTGCCTGGCTGGGAGACTTTTTAAAAATTTAAGTGTGGTCCTCTTGTCATACTTTTTGTCCTCAGTGTACTTAACATACACTTTTGCACTATAATTAACCTAAACTTTCTTTTGCAAGTGTTAAAACATTTTCAGGCTGGGGATTTAGTTCAGTGGTTCTGCCGCCTGCCTCACAAGTACAAGGTCCCGAGTTCGATCTCCGGTACCAAAAAAAAAAAAAATTTTCAGTGGGGCATATACTACCATGCTATTGTAATCCCAGCTACTGGAGAGGCTCATGTGGATGATCAGGCAGGCATATTGCAAGTTCAAGGTCAGCTTGGGCAATTCAGTGAGACCCTGTCTCAAAATTTTAAAAAAGGATGCAACTCAGTGGTAGTGTGCTTGCCTAACGTGCACAAGGCCCTGAGTTCAGGCCATGATAGTGAAGGGAAAAAAAGGATAATTTTTTGTTTGGTTGGTTTCTCTGCCCTCCTTCATTAGGCTAAAAGTTCTTGAAAATACTCTTATATTGAAGCCTGGCTCCCAAGGTGCTTAAGATAAAGTTTTTATTATTGACTGCTTGTCTTTTATTTCCTTATTCTCAGTATGTGGCATAGCTCCTGACACACAGTAGGTGCTCAGTAAATGTTTGTTGAATTAATGTCTCTGCCTATTTGGAGCTTCCAGTCTAATATGGGGAAAATAAAGATTAACAGGAAAAAAAAAAAACATATTCCAACACATGGGAAAAGGTAATAATATTTACGAGAATTTGGGTAGACTTGATTATTGTTTGTTTAGAACCTACATCTGTAGTCTTTTGTCTTAAGATTTAGCTATATTATCTTTTCCAGATGATGAGGAATCTGATGAGGAAGCTGTGAAGAAAACTAACAAATGTGTACTAGTCTGGGAGGTAGGTGATCCTTTGTAAAACCCTGAAATACAACTTTAGCCAGCTCTTTATTGCTTGTACTATCCAAGTGGAGCACTGGAATGACAAAGTCTAAAGAGTAAATAATTTCTAGAGTAATTTGGTGTCAGACTTTTTTTTTTAAGATTTCAAAGAAAATTTTGTCTCAAAAAATAAAATATGAACTGGGAATGTAAAAATAAGTCCTTTCCAAGTCCGTGATCTCTGAAGACCACTCTTTTTGGCAGGGGGGGGGGGGCGGCGGCTGGGAGGCTGGGGTTTACCAGGGATCGAACTCAGGACCTTGCACTTGCGAGGCAGGCAGTGGAACCACTGAGCTAAATCCCTGGCCTTGATTTGCTGTTCTAACTAGACACTAGAACACAGAATTCCTCATCCTTTGCCTTGCAGTCAAAACCCTGAAACTAATTCATGCATCGCTGAGAGTGGTGGCACACTCCTGTAATCCCAGCACTCGGGAGGCTGAGGCAGAATTGCTTTGAGTTCGAGGCCATCCTGGACTACATAGTGACACCTTATCTTAAAAAAAAAAAAATTCATGCATATGTCCAAAGGGCAGAAGTTACTTTTTTTTTTTTGAGACAGGGTCTTGCTTTGTAGTTCAGCCTGGCTCTGAATTCACTATGTAGCTCCGGCTGGCCTCAAACTCATGGCAATCCTCCTGCCTCAGCCTCCCAAGTGCTGGGATTACAGGTGTCCAGCACCACACCTGGCTAGAAGTTACAGTTGATTTCAACATAAAATCATATTCAGCTAGGGACACTGCTATACAGATATTATTAGGTCTTTAAAACAATATCCTATCCAATTTAGATAAGAAATTGCCGGGCTGGGAGTACAGCTCAGTGGTAGAGTACTTATCACGTGTAAGGTCTTGGATTTGGTCTCCAACACTGCAAATAAAAAGGAAAAAAAGGAGGCATAGTGGCACATACCCGTTATTCTACCACTTGAGAGACTGAGGCAGGAGGATCACTGTGAGTTCAAGCCAGCCTGAACTACATAGTGAAACCCTGTCTTAAAAAAAGAGAAAAAATATCCAATTGTAGTTTTGTTTTGTTTTAATTTTTGTTTCTTTCTTAGGGTACAGCCAAAGACCGGAGCTTTGGAGATATGAAGTTTAAACAATGCCCTACAGAGAACATGGCTCGTGAACATTTCAAAAAGCATGGGGCCGAGCACTACTGGGACCTTGCACTGAGTGAATCTGTGTTGGAGTCCACTGACTGAGACTACTGCGAGCCCTTGCCTCTCCCCCTTTGCCTCTCTCTTCAGTCCTCTCTCTGTTCTACTTTACAACCCACTTCAGCTTGTCTGTGTGATCTCAGACCTGTGCCAAGCAGGTGTTGGGGCAAAGGGAGAAAACCTTGCTCCCATCCTGTCAGCTTGGTGCTCTCCTTTATTCCCCTTATGTGCATATGATTAAAGAGTTATTTTTAAGCTTGGTATCATATTTTTTACACAATCATAGGCATTGGAAATTGGGTCTTCAGATTATCTTTTTTCCCAGACCTCCACCAATTAGTGTGCAAAAAATTATCATTGATATTTATGTACCTATAAAAACATGATGGATAAATGGAACTGTCCAACTTCATTGTAAAGCAAGAGTAACATGTAGTTTTTTGAAGCGGAGTGAAGGAAGAAGTATTAGTGGTCAAGGGATGGGAAATTTCATCCCTAAACATCAGTAGATAAGACTCACAAGCTAACAAATCATCTGTCTTGGCTAAGTGGTCTTTTCAGGAAATAATGTGTCAGGTAGAAATATGGGAATGTGTTCTGACTGAAGTAGACCAAGGAGAGGTCAACAAGGATGTTATGGGTTGGTTTATAAAGTGGAATGGCATTCAGGAATTTAGCCCTTTTTTCGTCTCTTACTAATACAAAATTTTTTTTTTTTTGTAGATATTGACAAATTGATTCTAAATTTTATATGGAGAATCAGACCCAGAATAAACCGTGTTGGTGACACACCTGTAATCTCAGCACTCTGGGAAGATGACTCGGAAAGGATTGCAAGTTTGAGCCCAGTTTGGGCAAATAGCAACTTGAGACTGTCTCAAAGTAAAAAAGGGCTGAGGATGGAGTTCAGTGTGAAGGTCCTATATTCAGTCCCTTGTACTGAGGGGAAAAAAGATGTATTGAAGAGGAAGGCTGGGTGTGGTGACACACACCTGTGATCCCAGCACTGGGAGGCTGACAAAAGAGGGTCACAAAGTTAAGCCTAGCCTGGAGAGTTTGGCTACTTAGAAAGACCCTGTCTTGTGAATAAAATTTTAAAAAGGACTGAGAATGTGGCTCAGTGCAAAGGCCTTGGGTTTAATCTCCAGTACAAAAAATACTACATAAGAACAAAGTTGAAGGACTGATACTGCCAAAATTCAGCTTTTACTCCAAAACTGAAGTAAAACAGTGGAAGAACAGCCAAATACACTGATGAAAGAGGATACAAGAGTAGCCCGGTCTGGGGATTTAGTAGTTCCAGCACCTGCCTCGAAAGTGCAGGGTCCCAAGTTCGATCCTCAGTACCAAAAAAAAAAAAGCCCACAGATAATCCCAGCTACGTACAGTCAGCTGCTCTAAGGACCAAGAAAGAGTTCAAAAACTGGTGCTGGAGGGCTGGGGATGTAGCTCAGTGGCCCCACACCTGCCTCGCAAGCACGAAGTCCTGAGTTCCATTCTGGTACTGAAAAAGAAATGTGCTGGAGCTTTATGCTGCTGGATGTGGTGGGGCACACCTATAATCTCAGCTCGCAGAAAGGTAAGGCAGAAGGATTGTGAGTTGAGGCCAGCCTGGACTACACAAAGACCTGTTTCAGAAAAAGTGTTGGGAGTGGTGGCACAGACCTGTAATGCCTATTGCTCTGGAGGCTGATGCAGGAGGATTGCAAGCCACCCTCAAAACAAAGACAGGCTGGGCATACAGCACAGTGGTAGAGTGTTTACCTAGTATGCATAGAACCTTGGGTTCAGTGCCCAGAACAACAACAAAAAAATGCTGCTGGGCCTAGTACACATCTTTACTGATGTGATTACACATCTGTAATCACAGCACTGAGGAGGTGGAGGCAGGAGGATCACCATGAGTTTGAGGCCAGCGTAGGCTACATGGTGAGTTCAAGGCCAGGCTGAACTGCAAAGTGAGACCCTGTGTCAAAAAAATAAATGCTGAACAACTGGACATATGCACATAAAAAAAAATAGACATCTTACAGCCTTCACAAAAAATTATAACAGGCTTAAATGTAAATACAACTAGAAAACAACATGGGAGAAAATCTAGATGATGTCAGTGTCTTAGATATAACACCAAAACCGTATGTGAAAGAAAATTGATGAGTTAAACTTGATTAAAAATTTGTGCTCCTATTAGCTATATAAAGAACTCAAAATCAGGACCCCCCAAATTTAAAGACCCAAAGCAAAAATGGGGAATTAAAATGAAAAGACATTTCTCAGATGAATTAGAGATGGCCAATAAATACACGAAAAAAATGTTCAACATCACTGGTCATGTGAGAGATGTAAATTAACACTGAGATTCCATCTCCAGGAAGAATGGCTGTTATCAAGAAATCAACCAATTGGGCCGGAGATTCAGCTCAGTGGTTCTGGTGCCTCCCTCAAAAATGCAGCGTCCCGAGTTGGATCCCTGGAACCAAAAAAAGGGATAACATGCTAGAGGAGTTGTGGGAGAAAAAGGAACTCTTTTTCCATTGCTGGTGCGAGTGTAGACTGGTACAATCACTGGAAATCAGTGTGGAGATTTCTCAGAAAACTAAAACTAGAGGTTCCATTTGACCCAGCTGTACCTCTTCTTGGTATCTTCCCGAAAGGATTCAAAGCACCATACCACAGCAATATATGCACACCTTCGTTTATAGTGGCACAGTGTGTAATAGCTAGATCTTGGAAACAGCCCAAATGCCCATCAACTGGCCAGTGAATAAAGATGTGGTTTGGCGGGGGGGGGGGGGGGGGGGGGAAACGGACCAGGGATCAAACTCAGGACCTTGCACTTGCAAGGCAGGTGGCAGCACCACTGAGCTAAATCCCCAGCCCTAAATCTTTGTTTTGTTTTGAAGATGTGTTTTTGAGTTTTGTGGTTTTTTTGGTACCGGGGATTGAACTCAGGACCTTCCACTTGTGAGGTGGGCAGTGGAACCAGTGAGCTAAATCCCCAGCCCAAGATGTGGTTTTTTTTGATAGGCAATTCTTTTTTTTTTTGTACCGGGGATCAAACTCAGGACCTTTTGTGAGGCAGGCAGTGGAACCACTGAGCTAAATCCCCGGCCCCAATGTGGTTTTTTTTTATACAATGGAGTACTACTCTGTCACAGAGGATAAGCTTCAGACATTTATAGCTAAATGGATGCACCTTGAGACCATACTCCTAAGTGAAATAAATCAGACACACGTTTAAATGCCACATTGTTTCTCTGGTGTGAGAAACTGTGGAAATAAGGACTGAGATGTATAATGGATGTTGGGAAATGGGAAGAAAGTGTTCAAATGGGAAGGGGAATAAGGGAGGAGGGAGGGAGAAAGGAAGAAAGGGACATGAAAAAAAGTGAAAATAGGGCCGGGGATTTAGCTCAGTGGTTCCACCTGCCTCGCAAGCCCAAGGTCCCAAGTTCGATCCCCAATACCAAAAAAAAAAAAGTGAAAATAGATGGAAAAAAATGGAAACAAAGCTTTTGCACATGGGGAGGGAAGCTTGAGGGGAGGGATGGGATTAAAAAAAATTTGTGCTCCTTGGAAGACACAGTGAAGATAATGAAGCCACAACCAGGATGGGTGAAAATATTTACAGAAGATATCTTGTAAAGAATTTGGAGGTGGGAGAGTACCAGGGAGGGATGGAACTCTGGACCTTGTGCTTTTGAGGCAGGCGCGGCTGTGCCACTAAACTAAATCCCAGGCCCGTCTGCAAAAGAATTTAACCCAAAACGTGTATCAGTCACTATTTACTAGGGAAATAGATACAACAAAATACACAAGTATATGCAATGGCTGCCCACAGAGCCAGATGAGGTAGGGTGCAGAGGGTCTGTCTGCACACCAGAGATGGAAGGATCTAATCGAAGCTCTGGAGCTCACAGCAGTATCCCACTCAAGGCCGATGGGTCTCTGATGGAAGACTGAAGAGTCTGTGCCAGAAAGCTGAGGGATCTGGGCCAGAAGCTCAAGAGTTTGCACTGGAAGCTAGAAGATGATGTCCAAGGTGAAGAAGACTGGAGCCCCTCTGAAGAAACAGAAGCAGGTCTGCCCATCATTTCCCCTTTATACCATCTAGGTGACAAGCTGCTCTAGGGTGGGTTTTCCCACCCAGGGTGTGGAATTACTGAGCCCATTTAGTTGAGCTTCTCTTACTCAGCTTGACACAATCATCCATCACAACATACAGAGAACTTTTAAAACTCAGGAATAAACAAGCCAGGCATAGTGGCACATGCCTATAATACTAGCACTTTGGGAGGCTGAGGCAGGAGGATCACAAGTGTGACTCCTTAGTGACTTAGTGAGACCCTGTCTCAAATTTTAAAGAACTGAGGACCTAGCTCAGTGCAAAGACCCTGAGTTCAATACCCAGTACTCCCCCCAAATATATATATAGTTTGGTACTGGGGATCGAACTCAGGACCTTGCGCTTTCAAGGCAGGCGCCGGAACCACTGAGCTAAATCCCCGGCCCTCAAATATTTTTTAAATGAGCCAAAGACCTTAACAGGGATGGGGGCACGGGGGGGGGGGTATGGCAAATAAGCATATGAAAAGATGCTTCCACATCGAATATGAAGGAATTGCACTCAGGGAGTACATGAAATAACAACTCCACACCTATTAGAATGGCCAGAGCCTGAAATGCACATTTTGGTGAGGTTGTGGAGCAACAAAAAATACTTCATTGCTGGTGGGAATGCATAATGCTACCACCACTTTGGAAAAGTTTGACTATTTCTTACAAAACTAAGCAAACTCTTAGTATACAATCTAGTTGTGCCCCTTGGTATTTATTTACCCAAAGGTACTGAAAGCTTATATTCACCCCGGTAGGGGGATATGGTATCCTGGAGACTGAACCCAGGCCCTTGTGGGTTCCAGGAAGGTGCTCTAGTGCCGAGCAACCCCCACCCCTTTTTTGAGACAGGGTCTTGCAGGTTTAGGTTAGCCTTGAACTGTGTAGCCCAGGCTTGAACTCTTCCGGGTCCTCTTGCCTCAGCCTCCCAAGTGTTAGGATTACAGACATGCGTCACCATGGCTTTTTTGTTTGTTTTTTGAGGAAGGGTCTCCCTTTGTAGTTCAGGCTGGCCCTGAACTCACTAGGTAGCCCAGGCTGGCCTTGAACTCGAGGCAATCCTCCTGCCTCAGCCTCCCAAGTGCTGGGATTACAGGCATGCGCCACACCCAGCTACCATGATTGTTTGTTTGTTTTGAGATGACGCTGCTCAGGATATCCAGGTTGACCTCCAATTTGGGATCATCTTGCCTCGTGAGTGGCTGGGATTACAGACATGCATCACCTCACCTTGCTTGCACATGTATGCTGATAAGTTTGTTGTTGTTTTTTTGGTACCAGGGATCGAACTTGGGTCCTTCTGGCTTGCACATGTATGTTTCTAGCAATTTTACTCATAATTGCCAAAATGTGGAAGCAATCAAGATACACTAGAGAAAGTCACTGGATAAACTGGTACACCCAGACAATGGAGTATTGTTCAGTACTGAAAAGAAATGAGCTCTCAAGCTATGAAAAGACATTAGAGGAGTCTGGTGTGATGGTGCACTCTGGGAAACTGAGGCAGTAGAATCATAAATTTGAACTCAGCCTAGGTAATTTAGCAAACTAGTGAGACACCACCCTTCTCACCACCTGTTTTAAAGGGCTGGAGATGTAGCTCAGTGCTTAACTATGACAATCTAGAAAAAGCAAAACTACAGACAGAAAAGATCAATGGTTGCCAGGAGCTAAGTTGGAGGGACGGACAGACAGGCAGAATTTTTAGGGCAATGAAAGTCTGGTAGAATAATGGTGGATATATGCCATGGTACATTTGTCCAGAATATTCAAGAGTGAGACCAGATATAAGTTTTGAGTGATAATGATGGGTCAATGTAGCTTAATCATAAGAAATTTACCACTTTGATACATTTCTCTATACAGATAACGGAAAGCTATGCAGGATACAAAGGAACACTGCTTCCCCAGTTTTTCTGTGGCCCTAAAATTGCCCCAAGAGAGCATAGGGGTTGGGGTGTAGCTCAAGGTACAGCTGGTACCTAGCATCTGTAAAGCCTTGGGTTCAATCCCTACCACCTAAATAAACAGGAGGAAGGAAAAGCCATTTGGAGTTTACAGTGGAGAAAAAGTGAGGTGGTCAAGTTAGATAATAGCTTGCTTTTTTTTTTTTTTTTAACTGGGAATTGAATTGAACTCAGGGCCTTTGCACTGAACTATACATCCCCAGCCCTTTTTGTATTTTTTGAGACAGGGTCTCATTAAATCACTAAGTTGCCCAGGCTTGGCTTGAACTTCTCAATTCTGCCTTATCGTCCCAGAGTGCTGGGATCACAGGTGTGCCCCATCGTGCCCAGCAGATAATAGCTTTCTTAAAAATGAGACTATAAAGTGGTTAGGACAGGGATAGTAAACCTTTTTAGAGCTTTCAGTGATACAAACAGCCCTCTGGCACTCCTGGCATGGGTTTGTCACCACTGGGTTAGAACAATTTGTCTTCACTGTATGGGATTTACCGTGACAAAATTGCAGAAATATCTGAGTAATGTCGATATCATTAGAATGTAGGTGTTCAATAATTATTTTTGAGCTGGATGTGGTGGCACACACCTGTAATCCCAGCATTTGGGAAGCTGAAGCAGGAGGATCAACAGGAGTTCAGAGCCAACTGAGGCTACATAGTGAGTTCAAGGCCTGAACTACTACATAAAGAGACCCTGTCTCAAGAAAAAAAAAAAAGAAATTGAAGCTAGGCATGGTGGCACATGCCTGTAACTCCAATACTCAGGAGGCTGAGGCAGGAGGACTGCCATGAGTTTAAGGCCAGCCTAGGCTACCTAGTTAGTTCAAGGCCAGCCTGAACTACATAGTGAAACTCTGCCTCAATAAAACCCAAAACCAAATAAAAAGAAAATTAAAAACAAAAAACAAAAAACCCCAGCTCTTGAAAAAGAGAAAAGAAAAATACAGGGGGCTTAGGATATACTTCAGTGGTAGAGTACAAGCCTTGAATGCTCAAGGCCCTGAGTTTGATTGAAAGATGGGGAAAAAGAAGATGGGCAAAACGTTGATAAGAGAACATTTCAGGTAAAAAGAACAAAAGTAATTATAAGTCAAAATTTATAGGCTGTACTAAAGGATTGGAGATGGCAATTAAGTCATTCTTACCCGTGAAAAGCATCTCCTGAGTACCTACTATAGTGCCTATTTCCCTGATAAAAAAGTAACTGACTTCTGCATACTTTCAGCAAATCTAACAACCTACCTGTATTTGTACCTAGATTATCTTCCTTCCAAGAAAGGAGCTGGGGGCTGGGGATTTAGCTCAGTGGTTCTGCAAGCGCAAGTTTCGATCCCCAGTACCAAAAAAAAAACAAACTAAAAAAAAAAAAAGAAAGGAGCTGTCCTTCAATTTGTAACTTGATCCTTTCCTCTTCTGCCCACCCCAGGAAATCAATGCCACAAGCCTCTAGCATCTATGCTTTCCCTCTTCTAATATGTCATTTGCATCCGTTTTAAACATGCATTGTCTCCCTTCTCAGAAAAAGTAATGGCTCCTTGATCTGTTTCCTTCCAGCTTCAGCCCTATTTCTGCTCCTATTTGCAAAAATGTTTTATATTTTAAACGAGTTGTCCATATGTGATATCTCCATTTCTCCTATTCTCATAGTCTTCTCCAGTCAGTACTTCATTGGAAACAGCTCTTGTCAAAATCACCAATGACTACCATGGTGTCAAATCCAATGGTTTTCTCAGTCCTCATTTTATTCTTTTTTATTTTATTTATTTATTTATTTTGATACCTGGGCTTGAACTAGAGACCTTGCACTTTCGAGGCAGGCAGCGGCGCCACTGAGCTAAATCCTCAGCCCTTTATTTTTTTTATTTTTTTGGACAGGGTCTCGCTATGCAGTGCAGGGTGGCCCTGAACTCACTATGTAGTTTAGGCTGGTTTCAAACTTTCAGAGATCCTCCTGACTCATCCTCCGAAGTACTGGGATTACAGGGATGTGCCACCATGCCCAGCCAAAGACATCATGATACACTGACACATTCATACCCATGTTTATAGTAGTACAATTAATAACAGCTAAGACTTGGAAACAGCCTATATGCTCATCAACATATGAATGGGCATGTATTTGTTTGTATTTGTTTGGTGTTTTTGTTTTTTTGGTACCGGGGATCAAACTCGGGCCTTTGTGCTTGCAAGGCAGGCGATGGAACCACTGAGCTAAATCCCCAGCCCAAGAAAATGCATTTATACACAATTAAGTACTACTCTCTCATAAAGGATAAATGTGAATAATCTGTAGCTAAATGGTGAATGCACCTTGAGACCATATACTAAGTGAAACAAATCAGACACACAAGCTTAAATATCACATGGTTTCTCTTATACGAGAAACCAAAAATTATATAAAGAGCAAAATAAAAGATAATATGAAAGAGAGCTTTTTCAATTGGGAAAGGGAACAAGAGATAAAAGAAGGGGAGCCAGGCCTGGTGGCACATACCTGTAATCCCAGCATTTAGGAGGGAGGCTGAAGCTAGAGGATTGCTGCAAGTTTGAGGCCAGCCTGGACTACATAGCAAGTTCGAGTAGCCCGAACTACACGGCGGGACACTGTGTCCAAAAAAAAAAAAAAAAAGGGCTGGGGATTTAGCTCAGTGGTTCTGCCCCGTCGCAAGGGCAGGATCCTGAGTTCGATCCCTGATAACAGGAAACAAACAAACAAACAAAAAAAGAGGGCCGATGGAGTGAAGGGAAAGGGGACAAGAAAAACGGAAACAAAACTTTTGCAAATGAGAAGGGAATCAAGAGTTGTAAGGAGCAGTGGAGAAGGAGGGGAGGGCAGGGAGGGGGCAAAAAACGAATTCAGATGCGTTACGTACATGTACCAGCCATCCACGGTGAAGTAATCATTATATAGTGCAAACGTACTACTAATAAATTTAAAAAATTTTTCTATGTTTTCAGTGGGAATGCAGAAACCTCCAAATCTGCCCATAGGCAGATGTGATGGAATGACTATCCTGGGGCTGTGCTAATCAACGTAAGCGATATCCATGCCTCTTCTAAACTGTTACACATTTGTGAGATTCTGTTGCAACTTGCGAAAGTGAGGTCACTTTTTGCCAATTTTTCCTCGCCTCGAAAATTTTACGTGATAATTTTTCGTCCCAATTTTTTCCCTCTCCTATAAACCAAATGGTCCCCTAGTTGTGAATGGTACCGTCCAAACCGAGCTTGTAGTAGCATTTGATAAGGCTCTGCGTAGTAAATAGCTCGCTGGACCTGGCGCATGCGCACTTTCTGTGTTGCTGTAAAATGGCTGTCAGCCATTTTGTCGTGCGTCCGTACCCTAGTTACCAGCGGCAGCGGCTATAGCCGCCGGAAACGTTAGCCCCTGAACAGTGGGAATTTCCACGATCCTGTTTTGTGAGTTTAACACCTCTAAGAAAGAGAGGGGCCCCGCCTCCCAGCAAAAGAGGCGGAGCGCAGCGGTGGAGCCCCACCCTCAGACCTCTCGCTTCAACCAGCGGCTTCACCCTTACAATTTTTGCCCCCAGCCTGCCACACGCCGAACTGCTGCACAGGCGCACAAATAACCACAGCGCTTCCATGGCCCTCGGGGTTTGCGAGCTCTTGCGCGCGCTTCTCGAATACCTCTCTTGATTGGTCAGATTGCCCCGCCATCACGGCCTCCCCAATGCTGCAAGGTTGAGAAGGAAGCAGAGGGGCGGGGCCAAGCTGCGCGTGCGCGGTGCTGTTGCCGTTCTCACTGCTGTTGCGTTGCAAAAAAAAAAAAAACCCTGACTAGGTAGCCTTGGGCCTTTTCTGTGCTCGAGACTCTAAAGGACAGAGAAAGATCTCTGCAACTGAAGGGGCAGTCGGGTAGTATTAAATTTAAGCTATTAACACCTGCCGTGGCTTACAGGAGTGTGGGTACAGGGGTGAGGAAGGGCTTTAGCGCCGATAGCCGAAGAGTATAAAACCATTGGTTTCGGCGCCAAGCATTTGCAGGACCTACTTGCGCGTAATTCTGCCCTTATGACTGTCTGGTTTAAACACGACCCCTGAACAGTGTCGGTACACCGCAGCCCCTCCTCAGCGCGCCGGAGCAGCCAGCGCGCCCTGCAGCCGCCAGCGCGCCCCGCAGCGGGTCCTCCCGCGCCTCCGGGTCAGCCCCGCGCGCCGTGCCCCCGCGCCCTGCCCGCCCTGCGCCCCGCACCCCGCGCTCGCACGGATTGTTTTGCCCGCGCCGCCGCCGCCGCCGCCGCCGCCGCCGAGGAGCAGCAGCGCTTGTGCAAACCGGGAAGATGGCGGCCGGCGGCGGCGGAGGCAGCAGTAAGGCCTCCTCCTCGTCGGCCTCTTCGGCTGGGGCTCTGGAGTCCTCGCTGGATCGAAAGTTCCAGTCGGTAACGAACACGATGGAATCCATTCAAGGCCTGTCGTCCTGGTGTATAGAGAACAAGAAACACCACAGCACCATCGTCTACCATTGGATGAAGTGGCTGCGGAGATGTGAGTGTTGGGGCGACCAGGGCAGGGAAGGCTGGGGACATAGAAGGAAGCGCGGCCTCTACACGCGGGAGGCCCAGCTCTCTGCTCGGCTTGTTCCTGCTGGAGCTGGGCCCCCAGGGCTCCCAGAGCCCGACTCCATTCCCAGCCCGGTGGCCCCGAACTGCTCGTTTGTTGAGAATTTTAGGCAGACTTGGTCTGACCTTGGGCTGTTGGGCCCTGGTCCATCGGGATTTCCATGTTTCATTTCAGACCCCCCCTAAGGTGTGTTACTGATTTTACTGAACCTTCACGGAAATTGCCGCGTCCGTTGATTCCTTCTAGGCCTTGACGTATTAACGATTTCTGGTTTTCCTGAGGGTACACAAGGTGTGGTTTAAGCAGTCGTTTAAGTCCGCTTGCCTCACCGGAATAGGTTGGGCTGTTGTGTATTTTTCGCAGACCCGAAACTTGTGATGTGGCTTCAGGAGACCCAGGTGTGGAGGAATGTCCCTAAAACTTGTGATGTGTTATAAAGAAGGATTTGTCAGGATGAGCGTTACGAAGCAACATGAGCACTACATGGAGTTTCCCTTTACCTGTGTTTGCTGCAATAAAGTACAGGCTTCTTGGTCCTGACCAGAAACATCTTTAATACCTGGAATGTTGAGTTGTGATCGTCATTAATACCTTAACACATGAAAAGTATCTGGCTTCTTTTTAATCAGCAGAAATACGTTTTTACAGAATTAAGTTGGGGTTCATAGGTAACCAAAACGGGATATGTGTTTTTTAAGCTGTGTAATACTTTTTTTCTGTTGTTGCTTTTTTTTCTTAATCCTGTGGGGTTCCCCCCACACACACTTTGTTGCTTTACTACAGAAAAGAAGTCTACTAAAACATAGATTGTTGGAAAAGATTTGAAATCTTTATATTACTTATTTATTTTTATGGTTTTTTGAGGCAGGGTCTCATTATGTAGGCCAGGCTGGCCTTGAATGCAGGGGAATCCTCTTGCCTCAGCCTCCTAAGTGCTGGGATCACAGTCGTGCACCACCATGCCCAGCTAAGATTTCAAATTTACAAGAGGAAATGTGGAGAGGTCGCTCCACAGTTGTTCTTGGTGAAGTAGGCAAGGGTTAACTCTAACTGCATATACTGCATATCTATTTGAATTTTGATTTGCATCTGTCTACCATGTCTCCAGTGAAACTGGACATTCAGTTTTCTTACTCCAGTTCTGTCATTGCCTCTGTAGTGTTTTTTTATTTGTGTTTACCTTTTAGGAAACAAATGGATAAAGCTTTCAAGACTGTAGGACCAAAGCCTCAAACCATTTGTTAAACTTACTGTTGAAGAGATGTTTTGTTGTTCGTTGAATGATAATGCCAAGAAATTAGTTGAGAAAACATAAGATTAGGTAACTTGTTTACCAGTGGCAGATCAAATAGTTAAGTTTTTTGCCAAAAGGGAAAATTAGAACTTGTAATATAAATATGCTAACAGTCACCATCAAAGATTCTCATCTGCTATCCATCCCCCTATTTCATTATATTTTATAATATACTATAATTCACTAGATTTAAAAAAAAATTGGTTTATAAATGAAGAAATTAAGGTTCAGAAATGCCACAGTTGCTGCTCAGCTTTGTGGCACACACCTGTAATCCCAGCCCTCTAGGAGGCTGAGGCAGGAGGATCACAAGTTCAACCCCAGCCTGGGCAATATAGTGACTGAGACCCTATATCAAAGTTAAAAAAGGGCTGAGGATGTAGTTTAGTGTGAAGGCCCTGGGTTTAATCACCAGTACCACCAAAAGGAAAGAAAAGAAAAAAATAGAAATGTCGAGTTGCTAAAGGTTACTCAATAAAATGGTATAGTTAGGATTTGGTTTTATCATTAACTTTGTAAAATAATGGTTAATATGTTGGTAAACCACTGGTAGCAAGCAGTGCTAATGAGAGCATGAGAACATATTCTCTACCCTATCTTAAAAGATTCCTGCTAAATTATGCAAACATTTTACATTTCCTACCTTTGGGCTCTGGTGTCTTTCCCCTCCAAACCCAATAGGGTAATTGAACCCAGGTTCTTGTACATGCTAGGCAAGTGCTCTTTCACTGAGCTACGTGTTACTCTGCCTCTTTTGAAATTCACTTATTTAGAGACAAGGTCTTGTTAAATTACCTGGGCTTGCCTCAGGCTGTCCTTGAACTCCTAGTCCTCCTGCCTCAGCCTCCTGAGTGCTGTGAATACAGGTGTGTGCCACCTCCTGGGCTTGGGCTCTAGGGCTTTAACTCTGGTTACATCATTTGCAAGAATAGGTTACACCCCATCCCTGCCTTACAGGATCATAAATGAGGATTACTGTATTTTTTTTCTAGTCAGCAATAATGAGTTATGCTAGAGCCAGACTTTTCTGCCTCTGTTGTTGTTAATACAGTGCCTGAACTTATTTCTTTGGTTGATATTAAAAGAGTGAAAAAGTTATTATTCCAGGAGAGCAATACATTTGAAGTACTTTCTTTTCTTTTTTTTTTTTTTTTTGGTTTTTTGAGGTAGGGTCTCCCTTTGTAATTCAGGCAGGCCCTGAACTCACTGTGTAGCCCAGGCTGGCCTCTAACTTTTGGCAATCCTCCTGCCTCAGCCTCCCAAGTGCTGGGATTACAGGTGTGCACCACCACACCTGGCTTGAAGTACTTTCTATATAGTTTATATAGTTTGCTTTTAGCTTTTTAAAATCTGATACTGTTGAGCGGGGGATTTAGGTCAGTGGTTCTGGCGCCTGCCGAGCAAGCACAAGGTCCCAAGTTCGATCCCTGGTACCAAAAAAAAATAATAATAATCTGATACTGTTTACTACTGTAGTGAAATGGAATTTAACTTTCTAAAACGGTTAAGAATAATATGTAACGGGGCCAGGGATTTAGCTCAGTGGTTTCGCTGCCTGCTGCGCAAGCACAAGGACCCGAGTTCGATCCCGGTACCAAAAAAAAAAGAATAATATGTAGTTATTTTGTGCTTTCATTTAGTGATCATTATCTTGCAAATAAAACCTTTTGAGAGAAATACTCACCTGAATAATGAAGGGTAGAATGAAAATAGCATATCTGTTGAGCCTCATTTTCATTTAATGTTATGGCTCTTTACAGTTAAACCTGTTTGTTTGCTTTGGGTTTTTTTTTTTTTTTTTTTGGTACTGGGGATTGAACTCAGGACCTTGCACTTGCAAGGCAGGTGCGGTGGCACTGAGCTAAATCCCTAGCCCCTGCTTCGGTTTTTTGTGACAGGGTCTTACTATGTAGTTCAGGTTGGCCTTGAATTCATTATGTAGCTGAGGCTGGCCTTGAACTTGCAGCAATCCTCCTGCCTCAGCCTCCAAAGGGCTGGGATTATAGGTATGTGCCACCATGCTTAGCCATGCTTCCCTGCTTTAAAACTCCCCACTGATATCAGATGCAACAGGGTTAAGTTCTATACTTCTTTTACTGTGGTCTGCCAGAACCTATGCCATCTGATTTGTTTGCCTCTCAGGCTGCTTCAGATCCTGCCCTCTTCTCAGCCTTTAGATCTAACCTTAGGTAGTACCTCTGCAAGAAGCCTTCCCTAGTCACCTTCAGTTGCTGTCACATTGTTCTGTTTTCTGTACATGAAATTATCTTGTTACATGTTTATTTTCCTCCATCAGATGGCAGGGTTGTCTTACTTGCTGCTGTAACCCAAAGCAACTAGAACAATGGCTAACATACAGTAAGCAATCAGTAAATATTTGCCAACATAATGTTATGAAATAGTTAATCAAAAACTTGGAGAACGGAACTGTTTTTGTTTATCAGATGGAAGCATTTATAATTTAGTAGAAGATATTACAGGAATGGTTATCTTTGGATACAGGATGTGGCTCTTACATGGACTTGATGTAAAACTGGAACGGATTTTCATTTTTATATTTAATTTTTCTCATTTTTAATGGGAGAATTGGTGTGGAACAGTAAAAAAAATATAGGCTTTAGAATTAGACCTAGGGTTTAGATCTTAACTCCATTACTTAATCACTGTGAGCCTTAGTTTTTCGTCTATAAGTAGACATAATGATCGCTTATAGGATCTGGAGCGATCTGGATGTAAGAAGATAGTACGTGTATTTTGGCATAGGAGCTAGCACACAGAAAATATTAAAATTATTGTTTACGGCAGTGCAGATGATAATCGTAAGATCCTGAGTATTTAAAATAAATATAGCAGAACTTTGCTTTGGGTATAGGTGGAAATTACAGTCTTAATTGGTAGAAGATCAGTTAACTAGCCTCTCTGTACTGAAGTAAGGATACTCTGAAGAACTAGTAGAACAAAATGGGAAATGCTATGTTCACGATACCTCTATTTAGTCTTGTTTTTTGTGAACCCAGGGCCTTTGCACTGAGCTACATCCCCCTAATCCCCCATCCCCTTAAGTTATTTTGACTCAGGGTCTCGATAATCACTAAGTTGCCTAGGCTAGGCTTGAATTTACAATCCTTCTGCTTCAGCCTCCCAGCGTGCTGGAATTAACAAAACCATGCCCAGGTATTTAGTCTTATTTCTGTTTGAGAAAGCGTGTGAGAATTTAAGTGAATGTTGCAGGAAAAGTAGAAGGATAATTGCTCGTTAGTTGTAGAGCACAAAATGTTAAGATTTCCCTTTAAACTATTTTTGATACAAATCTTATGTACAAAAATAGAAAAGTAATGATATTCACACTCTGTCTGTCTATTCATCAACCCACTTCAGATAATTATTGCCTTAATGGTCAATCATTTTTCAGCTCTCCCCTTTATTCCCTCTCTTCATTACTTTGAAGCAAATGACAAAACAGACAAACACAGACTAGGAAAAAATCTCTTCATACAGGTTTTATATGTTGCAAAGATTTACAAAGTGCAGTTACCATATTTGATTTATGGAAATAACTTCTTTGTTTGGATCTCAGGATCCTTAAGTGGACAATGGAGCTGGTAATAATTTTATAGCTAACTTTTGTTGA